GGTACGAGCGAGAGACTCAGTATAGGGCTGTGGCGCTGGTTGACAGAGGAGTTGGCTGAGAGTGCATCCTCTCTTACTTGTCCATACAGCGATGGCTTCATAGGATATAATACCGCCAGAAACTGGACCAGGTGCCTCTCTCTTCACGAGTTTGCAGCGCGCGGGGTCGTTGAAATGATGTGTGGTTCGCAAGTTTCATACAAGCCACAGGCTGAAGGAAGCCATGAGGGGAAGCGCCCGTTTTTTGCTTGTCCCTTCTTCCTATTTGTCGGCAAATCTTGACACATTCAGAGAAGGGAAAGAAGCCGAAAAAACGCCACGTTCCCTGCAAGGCAGCCACCTTTTTCTGTTGGAGATGGAGAGGTGCGGGTAACCGGCAGCGGCTGCACAAAGGCACAATTGTTTCAATTGGCCCTCTTTCTTCCTCAGCCTCCACGGCCACAGCCCGGAGCAGCGTTGCCGCGCCGCTGGTCAGAGGAAGAGGTGTCGTGTCGTGACTGGCGGAATGAACTGGTTGAAGAGCCCTGTACATGTACAACGTGATGCGCCGCGATGCGCTGTTCGCTTCCGGCTGGTTGGCTGGTGTTGTGGGAGAGGAGGGGAGGGGAGGGGAGGGGGAGGACTCGGATGCACCAACAAGCTAATACTATGATGGGGTCGAATTCCGGAATATCAGTATTTGGAGAGTTTGCTAAGATGCTGATCCTGGCTAGCTTCTTTATGGTGATGTCCTTTGATCGATGGCCTGAACTTGGCATGTGGTTGTGCTATGGCGGGGAAGGAGGCATTTACTTGCAACAAGATGGTGAGAGAAGCCGAAGCCGAAGCCGTCGTTCTCCAGCAGAAGAACTGAAAAGCTCGAATTAGAGTAGCCAATCAACGGAATGAAGTTTGAGACAGTTTTTATCGTCGTGGGTTCCTATTCCAGTCTTGCTGCGACGCTCTTAGGTCTTGTGCATGTCAACGTTGCGCTCGTATCTGACTCGGGAATATCATCATGGCGGCTCACTGTACGGCAAGGAAGAGAGAGACATCTGCCAATCATCGTCCAAGGAGGGGTATCAGTTTCGCTTCGTGCTGGGCCGTCCGGACCGACAATTGACCCAAACCGGCTACGGCCCTGGAGCCTGTTCGCTGATATTAGCACTGGGACGCTTTGCTGCCACGGGACAGCCAAAAGCAGCAGTTGAACTAATAATAAACCGAAAGTTACTGGGTACTGGTAACAAGCCATTATTAGTTGGCTGAAGGAAGCTGCTTAGCTGTCGGCTCACCGCAGGTCTTGCGGAGCCGTTGGACCCGTGGGGAGCAAAGACGAATAAGCATTACTACGCCGTAAATGCCCAAATTCCCGCTTTCGCGCACCAGACTTCAAGGCTGGCTGTTGGACTAGTTAGGCAGGTTCTCCATCCAAAGTGAGGCAGGTGATGTGAAGAAAAGGCCAAATTTACGCCATATCCATAGCGTGTACGGATATACGTGCCTGTAATATGGGCGGCAAAATAGCAATGACGCAGTGCCCTGGTACCGGGACGAAGGCCTCTCGTGTGCGACCCTTGTGGTTGTCGAGAACCGGTCGGGTCGGGTTCTTCGGTTGTTCCCTTTTCGTCGACGCAGCGCCACACGTCGAGGACGATGCGAGGCTGTCTGTGTGGTCAAACAGCGGCGATCTCTTTGACATGCTGGCAAATGATGAAATATAAGCCTCAGACAAAAATTCAAACATGGGTTGGGTGACACAGTGTTGAAAGTGAGTTGCTCCATGTCTCATCCGTCAAGGCGGGGGGAAGGGGTGGGCTGCTCCCCCGGAAAAGCGCCCCCTCGGACCATGATGAATGATGCCAAGCGTGCCTAGACCAGGTTCAAGAATGAGGGCTGGGGCTTAGCATGTTTCTTGTACCGTTCCAGCCTGTGAAGGCCTGAATAGTTAGATATCCAAGTTGGTCGAACTGTAGTGAATATGGCAGAGCAATCGAGGAGGATCGGGAATGGAGCTGTTGGTGGCTGCGATGCGCGCCATGCGAGCCTGTTTCTCCAGCTTCAATATGGACAGGATGCGGGAGAACAGCCAGCTAGGTAGCGCAGCACACGGATGGAGTTGCTTGATATGGGGGACCGAGGGTCGATCCAAAATGGGCAGCAGCAATGCTTGCAGGGTCAGCTGCAGGAAGCAGTCTTGGTGCATTAGTTTGAGGGGACTTGGTTTCAGAAGCGCGAATGAGGTGAAAGAGTCTTTCGCATTTGACGAGACGAGGGCTTATTCCAGAACAAAAGGCGATTTAGTTGGTGAGAGTCTGAAGTCTAATGTCTGTCCGACAATGTGCAATACTGGCGATTATGGTTGGGTGTTTGTGTCGCAGTCTTGGCTCGCACGCCGTCAGTCAGCAAGACTTTTTTTATTGTGCGCGTGTGTGTTCGTTCTTGCGGCAGAACTTTATAAACATTGGCCATGCAGCCAAGACTTTGTCCAAGAACCCCTGGTGCCTTCTATGCGCTTACCAGGGCGATGGGCGTCTGCACGATGGTCTTTTGGCGTCTTGGCTGCGTGTGGGCGAGGAAGTGCAAAGTCTGGAGCTTTCGTTGAGGGGGGACGCAGAGGAACACGGCAGCAGCATAGAAGGGCTGGTGGAAGAAGAGGAAGAAGAATAAACACAAGCATTTTGCTTGGCCAGCGCCGCTGCCAACGCGCGCAGGTCGACCAGAGGTGCATGTGCATGGCTTACTACAGAGGCTGCAAGGTAGCGTGTCACCGAGAGAAGGGCAGGGTCCTTTTGTAAGATTCGTCTGAGCGAGGCGCGATTGAAGTGGATGGATGGATGGGTGATGATGTGGCGATGGATATTGATGCAGAGGAGAGGAAGAAGTTGTTGGCTGCTGAAAATGAGGCGATTGTTCGATTTTGGGATTACAGGGCATTACAGGGCAGGATCAGGCAGTACAGGGCACTTGCCTCAGTGGAGGCGGCAATGGTCGAGCGGGCGGCAGTGCATCGTGGGGTAAAAAGGTAGAGTTATCAAGAGAGGGCGGGAAAAGATGGGAAAAACAAGATAAAAATTTCCATACCCATAAATAAACCATGGCATAGATGTTGTCGATATTTGTTAATACACAACATTTATTACATCTTTTCTCCTTTCTGTTCTTGCATCTATTTCTGGTGACTTTTGCCTCGCCTCTGCCGTGACTAGGTATCCCTACCTATGTCAATTCTCATGCAAAGAATGACTTGTCCGTCCTGGTCTCTTTTGTCCACAACCTGCCTCGATATACCTGGCCTTGTATATGATACTTTTCGATCTGTTCTTCAACCCTTGCAAGGTTTTCGAGGGCCACGCCCATGCTGGTGCACGCCCCCTTGCACTTGGGGTAGTCCTGAGCCCTGTACATGCTACTAAGGTACTAAAGGTCCTGTTAGCGCCCACTGCGAGACAAATCCAGGTACTAACCTCCTCTGTAACCACCCGCCATCCTTCCTCAAAACCCCCCAGAGCTCGCCATGTGCCTCATAAATGCCTCCAAGCCCACGCCCACTTTTACGCTTCTACATCGCCATTTGTCCTATCTCTATCCTAATTCACTTTCCTCGCCATTTCCCTTCCCTCTCTTCTGGTGGAGTTTTTGTTTATCAACTCTCCCCTCCATCCTATTCTCCTCTTTATCCTCTCGCCTCTCTGCTTCTCTTCTTTTTCTTATCTCCCTCTTCCTGTTGGTTTTTTTCTGTTTGCCTGCTCGTCCCCATGGATTTGCAAGGCTAGCCTCGCTCGCTTCGTCCTCTTCCCACCGACGATACTTTGCACTAGCAAACGCCGCCAGGCAAGGAACCAGGAAAGAAGAGAAAAAAAAAACCACCAAATCATCCAATATTCTCGAGGCATCCTACGACTCTTACCTTCCAGATTAACATTGCCCTCTGCTCGATACCACGACAGCCCTCATTGCTTTGAAGAGCAGCTCAGTCTGAAACTCAGAATCGCCTATACGACTACCCCAGCAAACAGCAACAAAGCGGACTCTCCTCCACCGCGCAATTCCATCACAAGGAACCCGGAAAAGGCCAATTATATCTCCAAGGAAACCTTTTTCGCCCATCTCGCCGCTCCCGCACCGTTGTGGCTTGCATCGACAAGACAGCCCGTCTCGCACACGAAAAGGTCTTGTCGGCGTCTCCGCGGAAGAACCCAGAGCTTCCTCCTCATCTTCTTTCTGGTGGTGTGTGTGCCTCACTTGCCGCTCCCGCCACAGATAGCAGCCATCTAACCATCCAGCCAGTCTTCCAGCAACAACACCACAACAGGGCTTTCTCGCTCGCTCGCCTCGCCTGCCCACAGCGACCCTTTCCGTCCTGTTAGCGCCCATTGTCCCGCTTCTTCGCAAAGAAAAGAGGACAAGCCACCCCATCAATTACGTCGTTGGGTGCCGCTAAATTCCGCTCCCACCCACATCTCGAGGCATCTCACTGGTGGTTCACGACCAGCCCACTCTTTTCTCGTCCTCCTGCTCGGTTCTCTGGTGCCAGAGCATTTTCTAGCGCCTCTTTTCAGGTCTTCTGGCAACTCGGTGCCTTGGAGGCTGTCAGAAAGCCCCTTCGCGCGGTACTTGTCAAACTGCGTTGCTGTTGCGCAGCTATCTCTCTGTGGACGGCGACTCGAGTACCTACAGTACCTCACCTCACCTCACCTGAGTTGAGTCGGCAGAGTGCGAGGCGGAAACCCCCACCAGATACCGCTAGACCAGGTGCATCAACTCTCTTAGTCGCTAGCGGCACACCAAAAGACCACCCACCCATCGTCGCCTCGCTCTTTCGCGCCGTTCGCAGCGTCCGCTCTCGTTCTCCCAAGCCTGTTCTTGTCCGTTAACTTTCAAGTCCGTCGCACGCGCTCCCGTCCTCTCTCGCGCAGTTGGTCCATCCCGACCAGAAAGCATATTTCAAATCAAGGCAATCTTTGTTGCGAGCCTTGTGCACTCCTTCGGCAGTTTCATATTACTCAGTCACAAAAACCATGGCTGCTGCTACATTATTACGCCCAGCAGGGCCCCAGGCCGTGGCGCCGCCCGATTCAGGTCAGTGCATGTTCTCTTTCTCCGGTCTCTCCTCGACTTCTCCCCAGCGCCCACCATTCCCTCGCCACTCCTCTGCCCACGCGCCCAATTCGCTCTCTGTCACCAGTCACAACGCGCCCTCAGCCTCCTTGCCCACTATTCTTCAGACTTCTTGGTCCGCCTCGCCGGTGTACAGTACAGACTGATTACCTTCCCCTGCTTATTGATCCATTTTCACACATCCTTGTTCAGCGCCTGCCACCTGCCTGTGACGTGATTCCGCAGGGCGTCCCGCCTCTGTGACTTGGCCCCAGCGTTTTCCTCTTCCCCAAGTCGGAACTCAATTCGACTTCTATTCTTCTTCTTCTTTTCTCTTCACTAGACAGCCTTTTTTTATACTGACGTTTTCGCCATTCTCACCAACACAGACCCTACGGATGCCGCGGCTCTTGAGAACCGCCATTTCTACTCTCACAGCTTCTCGTCCGCGCGCCCATATCCAGCCGACATCCCGCACCCTATCTTTGAGGAGGAAGCTGCCGAGTCGGGGAGCGAATCACCTATAGAGCCCGTCACTCCCGTTAGCGGCGGTCGTCACTCACGGGAATTTACCAATGTTCAGCAGTTTGATCATAATTTGACTCTGACGCACTACAATACCACGCAAAACCCGCCTACCTCGCACCCTACGAAAACGCCTCTTCAGCCGCCTGAGTTGCCCGTAGACCAAACTACCCCCAAACAAACGCCCTTGCGTGTATTGCATCGCGCACGCACAATCATTGGAAACTCTACTCCGACCGCTGTCGATCCTACTACTCCAACGCCGAAGCAGTCGGAACCCGAATCCGACGCTGCTCAACCTGGCACCCTCCCTCGTCGCTCTACGCGTGGCTCTACATCCAGTTTCAAGCGCACAATGACGAATCTATTTCGCCGGTCATCGTCCGCCATTGAGCGCGACACCCCGGTCTTTGACTCTAGCACTCCCAGCTCAACAGACAGCGTCCTCCATCGCAATGCGGGCCCGACCAGTGCTCCTCGCAGCATCCCAGCAACGGAATCATACAAGACTCAGTCCACGGCGTCCAATTCGCCCCCTACGCCTGGCTCACCTTTAGAAATGGTCCCATCACACCGAAGCAACATTTTTGGCAAGTCGTTACCTGGGCCGGAAGACTTCCAGAAGAAGAACCGTGCCTCTACCGGCTTCACCCTGCGCGGTCGGGCTGTCAACTTTGTTGCCCGCGGTGGACGTAATAACAAGGCCCCCCGTCGGGCAAGCAGTTTCGACAACGGCAACAGAGGCGCGCCCGCGCACCCCCCTCAACAGCACACTGCTAACAAGATGTACCCTGCTGAGCGCCAACCGTGGGCTCTACCTCCCGACGCCGGCACAGGCACCAAGGCTCGCCGGATGAGCCTGAGCCTACCCGATGACTTCCTGATCGACACTGCCGAGCTGCTCTCAGAATTCGAGTATCAACACAAGCTTCTCGGTCGCCACGGCAAGCACCTAGGCAAGGGTGCCGCCTCCAAGGTCACCCTGATGGCTCGCAAGGGTTACCCCAACGAGCTATACGCTGTCAAGGAATTTCGCGGGAAGTCCAAGAGTGAGAGCCAAGAAGAGTATGAGAAAAAGATCAAGTCGGAGTTTAGCATCGCTAAGAGCCTGCATCATCCCAACATTGTTGAAACGATTCGTCTCTGCACCGACCACGGACGATGGAACCACGTCATGGAATACTGCTCTGAAGGCGACCTGTTTGGTCTTGTCCAAAAAGGTTTCTTCAAGGGCGACGCCAAGCTCAAGGATCGCCTGTGCATCTTCAAGCAGCTTGTTCAAGGCGTTGCTTATCTCCATGCCCACGGAATTGCTCATCGCGACATTAAGCTCGAGAACCTGCTCATCACCAAGGACAGCAAGATCAAGATTACCGACTTTGGCGTCTCGGAGGTCTTTACTGGCACACACCCTGGACTCCGTGAAGCCCATGGCGTGTGTGGTCAGAACATGGGCGAGGTGCGTCTCTGCAGTCCCGGCATCTGCGGTAGTGAGCCGTATATCGCACCCGAAGTCCTTGCCAAGAAGGGCTCGTACGATCCTCGCGCGCTCGACGTGTGGGGTACTGGCATTGTCATGATTTACCTCAACTTTGGAGGCGCAATCTGGTCACGCGCTGAGCCCGGTAACACCCATTACGATAAGCTCGTAAAGGGCTGGGAGCGCTGGTACCAGAAGCACCCCGACCCCGAGGCCGCCATTACGGACACGGACTACCCCAAGTGCCTGGCGCTAGACGTCGGTGTCAACCCTCCTGCGCTGCGCCGGATGCTGCTGCAGATGCTCAACCCTGATCCGACCAAGCGAATCAGTATCCTGGAGGTTGCCAACAACCGATGGATAAAGAACATCGAATGCTGCCAGGTTGAGTCTTATGATGACCCAACTCTGTGCATCGATGCCACCAAGTCGACATCTGCGAACAACAAGCGAATATTTTGCCACAACCACCTGCCGCCCAAGACTATGGGGTCGCATTCGCTGGGAAAGATGCCCGGTCAGCCCGGGTACTAGATTCAGCGCGATTGATTAGAAGACTACGACGACTGGTTCCAGAACTAGAAGTGTCTTTATCGCATCCATTGCGCGACACGTTTTTTCTTGAAAGAATTACGACCTTTCGTTTCATTTGTTCATTTTTCTTGTTTTGCTATATTATTAGTAATGGGCACGAGCCTTGGGTCTCTTTTAGATGGAGCACTGGCATGGGAGGGTTTTTGTTATCACGGATCCCTTTTCTGGCGTTAGAAGGTGGCGGTTTACACGGTTGCGGTTTTTGCTGTCTATTTTTCTTGTCCAAAGATGAAACTTGGGAGGCGGATCTCGGCTCATGTCTCCAAGATTGAGGCAGGGAACTGGCGTTGGTTGGAATGGACATTCGCTTCGAGCATGAATGAGCTTGTTTTTTCAATTTATGTTTACATGTTCGCACTGTCCTTTTTGTATATGTTATTGGCCGTGAGCTATTCCGGACCCGTGAAAATGGTGAACCGAGACGAGTAGCACAATGCAACAGTTGCGATATGCCTTGGCTGTAATGGTGAGGGTGAAGCGATGAATGGAGAAGTGTAGCTTTCCGAAGCGGCTGCAATATTATGCGATCAAGTGCGTAGGGGAGCTGGCTCTAAATACATGTCATGAGAATATGAGCAAGAAATGGCCAACGGCAGCATTATCTACTGGAGTAGAATACGAAACAAATCAATGCTGGACTGACGGAAATAGGCGAATCTGATGTCAAATCAACCCCTGGCTGCGTAAAGCAGCGAGTGTCGTTGCACCCTCCGCCGATGCCGAACGGCGATAAGCACGAGTCAGGTGGTGAGATGAAGTCTCCGCCAAACAGGTTGGCGCATCAATCTGGGCGATAGCAGGTGGCTATTATTGAAACGTTTTTAATAGCTCGTAATTCATCTCGCCAGGGAAGGAGAAAAAAGGGGTCCAATCGCTGGGACACGGTTGCGCGGGGATGCTGAGATGATTGGAGAGGGAGAGGGCGCGCGGCCAAGTTCTCGTCAAACAAGGGTCCAAATGTGCCCGCCACATATAGGTGAGACCGAGAGAGGCCGAGTCGAACAAGCAGAGGTGATGTTTCTTTAATTACCTGGGGGAGGCTATGGAAGGCAGCGAGAGAGAGAGAGAGTAACTATGGAGTATGGGGGCCAAGAGGCGTCCATTTCGTCCAAGCTATGCAGCCAGCCAGAGAGAGCTGCGAGAGTCATTGATTCTGGGACACTTCAAGTAAGATATGCGAGGTTTCTTCTTGCAGAATCTCCAACTAGATGAAAGATATGTAAAGATAGATGTTTACTCGAGGACACTACGTCATACTGGCCGTCGTCGCCAGCTGTCACGACACGGATTGACCGATGGACGGAGGCCGGGGACCGAAACAGGATTGGAGATGTGCCGTCTTCTAGAAGACGAAGAGAAGAGACGAAGAGACGGAAAAGATGCAGCTGATTTCCACTCTGGACTCGGTATTTCCATTTCGTCGCAATCCTCTACCTCTTTGGGCTGGCCTGCGGCACCCTATTGGTGCAGAAGCGTGGGAGTGAGGGGCTGAGACGTCCAAAGTCAAATGTGCGACGACCATGCATGACAGAATATACTCAAGAGGGGGGGGGGGGGGGGCGAAATTGTGTGAAGCTGTCTTTTCTGCAGCGCATAAGGAAGAATGAAATTTCAAGCGGGCTGCCCAACTTCCGAGGGATAAGCGCTGTTCCACCGACCCGGATGCCCTCGGCTGGGTGAGGGAGGTTCGATGGGACGGTCGGGTGAGCGCGAGTCATCATGTATGGAGAGCATTGAGAAGAGGAGAAGAGGAGAAGAGGAGAAGAGGGAGAAGACTGGGGGCTTAAGGTTGTGGTGAAGAGGCTATATAAAGTTGGTGATGCCGTCTTGTTGAGTCTCGAGATAACTCAGCAAGCAAGCAACTTCGCACACAGCCAACCAACAATCCTTTCCTGCAGTGCAGTGTCCTTCCATTCTGTTCTCCACAGTCATTTTATATTTTTCCTTCCTTCTTCCTTGAAGACTAGTACACTTTCAAAATGCAGAGCATTGCCCTTTTCCTCACCTACCTCGCTGCCGCCGGCGTCAGCGCGGCCGAGACCTCCACCGCGACCTCCGCCGCCGCGGCCGCCGCCGCCCCCTCCGAGGCGCCGCCCGGCCCGGAGTCGCGCTGCGTCGACACCTACACGCTCTACAAGGGCAACGGCTCCGCCTCCGCCGGCTGGCCGCCCGTCGCCTCCTGGTCCACCTACGAGCAGCTGTGGAAGGCCAACCTGCCCTTCCTCTCCATCTCGTGCGTCCGCAACGGCTGGGGCGCCTCCAACTCGCCCGCCGAGACCGCCGACCTCAAGGCCGCCATCGACGCCATGGCCGTCGAGACCGGCGTGGACCGCCGCTTCATCCTGGCCACGGTCATGCAGGAGTCGTCGGGCTGCGTGCGCGCGCCGACCACGTCCAACGCGGTGCAGAACCCGGGGCTGATGCAGACGCACAACGGCAACGGCACGTGCGCGACGGCGGACCCGTGTCCGAAGGAGGAGATTGACCTGATGATCAGGGATGGCGCGGCGGGCACGGCGGACGGGGATGGGCTGAAGCAGGTGCTGGTGAAGGCGAGGAACATGACGGGCGGGGCGAAGGCGCCGCAGGAGAGGGTGTTTTACACGGCGTCGAGGCTGTACAACTCGGGATCGGCGAACCTGACGGCACTGGGAGACCCGATCACGGCGACGGCGTGCTATGCGAGTGATATCGCGAACAGGCTGACGGGGTGGGTGTTTGCGCCGTCGGAGTGCAGACGCCCGGACGCGTCGGCGGTTTAAAAAGGAGTGTGTTGGTTCAACTGGATTGAATGGCACGATGGTTCTTTTGTGAAGAAAGTAGATATCTGCAGAGCAGAGGGTGCATGCAGACCATGAATAGAGACACCGGTGTAAGCCGACGCTTTTGTACTTGATGACTGTGAATAGCTTCACGTGACAACTGGCTGACGGCGGCTTGACCGTCACATAATTGCTGGACGCTGCGATGGCTTGTCAAACTAGGATAAGACTATTATGAAATAGGAGACATTGAGGTGTCGATACCGACAAGACCACGCGCGCGCCTGGTGTCGAGGGAAGCAAGGCAACACAGGGCTCGTCCTCGTACTCGGGCGCGTATGCGAGGCGGTGACACGCTGTAAATAGCTTTTATTTTGTTAGACTTTTAATAAAACCTGCTTTAATTGCATCCGTAATCTACCGAGGGCTAATTACTTCATCGCATCTCCCTTTCAATTGTTTCGCCTCGACCAGCTACAAGCGCCG